TGAAAAGGGGTAGTATTGATGCTGATTTGACAATAAACAAGCCAGTGCTCTACCACTTACTAAATGCTTCAATGTGTCAGATATACTAAGTCATACAATATATTACAATAGATCTATGACTTGAGAACTTTATTTATTTATTTATTCATTCATTCATTCATTCCATGAGAGAGAGCAAGACAAACAGAGAGAAAGAAAGACAAAGAGTCAAGAGAATCCCTACACCTCAATCCACCCCTGGTCTCCACTGGCCTAGATTGTGAACTCTCACATGCCCAGCATGCTCAGGAAGGTTCACAGCCCAGGATCTTACCCATGTAGGTCCAACTGTTCTACCACTACACAATGGCCTGGCCCACTTTTTTTTATGATAACAGGAGAATTAGAAATGCAGAAAAGAAAAGGAATATACCCAAGCTCACAAAGCAAGAAAATGGTTCAATTGAGATTTGAACCTAGGTTTTCCTGACTACAAAATTCTATCACTTCACTCCCATGCTGTAGTAAGTACCAGAACCCCATTCTTTTAGTTAGAACCCTTCAGATGAACCAATCTTTTCGAGAACCCTATACCCTTCCTTGGAGATTGATTCTAAATCCTCAGCTTCTGACTAGAATACTGTTCCAAACTGGATAAAATCTTCCAGAATTAAGGTGGTGCCCTTCACCTGACCCAGTTTTCCTGTAGTCTGAAGTTTTCTAGAATCAGAAACTCTCCAGAACCACATAAATAAGGCAACACAAGACATGCATCGTCTACCTCCCTATGGCCACTAAGATTCAAGCTGTAGGCTCCTTCTCCAAGGTCAACTCTACTTCCACACCAGTTCACCTAGACCTTAGGTCTCCCTTCCCCACTTCTAACCCTTTCCTGGTAGCCCAAATTCCAGTATCCTTCAAGACTAAACCATACATAGTGTAACATTGCAAGATTCCTCTCAAGCTAATTCTTCCATTATTATTTATCTCTTGCCAACTCCTAAACAGCATACTAAATTGTTTCCTAAGTTCAGAACTACAAATGTATTGTGAACACTCTTCTTATTTTGAGCTTATTAGACAATAGGCCTGATATGGCACAGAAATTTTCAATTGCTACTATTTCCTGCAAAATAACGTAGATACTCCCATTTAAGGCATGCAGAGTCATCTTTAAATGGCTCAAACTACCTCTCTTGTCTTACAAAGTATTATTTACCTAACTACTGTCTATTCTATCCTGTCAAAACTAATCTAGTCAGTTTCCCTAAAAGAATCATGGAGACCTGCTTTTATACCTTTACTCAAGCTGTTCTTTCCACTGAGAACGCCCTTTAACCTCCCCAGTACCCACTGGCAAATAACAGCCTATTTCTCAAGGCACATCTCAAATGGTACATAACAAAAATCACAGTTTTCAATAACAAACATCACGCAGTGCTAGTATCCTAGCTACCTGGGTAATATGAATCAAGTCTATCAACCACACACTCCCACACCTACAGTGACATAAGACACGATAGGCGATCCATTTCAAAACTTGCAAATTGAATTTAGGCATTGAAATAAAGTCAAGCAAATCATTTGCCTAGTGAGTTTGAATGTTTACGAATTTCCAAAATTAGAAAAAACATATTTTGGGGTAAGCAAATGGCATAGCGGTTACATTGCTAGACTCCCCACATGACCAACCACTGCTGAAGTCCCAGACCAGGTGGCTCAAAACTCACACCAGGTATATGGGGCCAGCAAGTGGTATGGTGGTTGAGGCTCTGGACTCAATTTCTCTCTCTCTCTCTCTTCTCTCTCCCTCTCTCTCTCTTTCTCTCTCTCTCTCTCTCTCTCTCTCTCTCTCTGTGTGTGTGTGTGTGTGTGTGTGTGTCTTTCTGGTCAAGTTAAAAAGTAATAATAATAAATTAAAAATTAAGTGAATAATTCTTTAAAAACAAAAATACTCACACTAGGTGCATGTGCATGTGTTCCCAGGATCCTAGGAAGAGAATGGAGGAGAAAGGATTACAGTGTGGCCATTCCCCCAGGGGGTGATTCCTCACTTTCTCTCTCTCTCACTATCTCTGTCTCTCTCGCTCTCTCTCTCCCCAGCTAGCACACACACCCTAAGGCAAAAACTTCTACAAATAAAGGACATATTTTATAAATAATTTCTACCTATATAAAATAGAGACTTTGGATAACTTACATGTAAGAAAATTTAATAAGAAATGACCAAAGGGAAAATTTCTGGGGAAAAAAAATTGGTCTCCAATTACCAAAGTGTTTTAACTTTCATCCCACGCCAAGGTTAGAGACTGATGAAGAGTCAATACAAATTACAAATTCTGACCATTTATCCAATTATGTTCCATTTGTATAAGTTATTTCAGTCCATTAAAGCACTTTTTCAAACGTTTGAGGTTGTTCCTACCTCCCTTCCTGAAGTATTTCCTTCAATATTATAAGCAGATAACAGAAGCACTTGCTGAATTCTTACAAAAGCTCACTAACTGACCAAGATTAGAGCAAATACACTTCCTGAGTTATGCACGTACAGAAATATCAAGACTCTGTAGGGAATAATGGTCTAATAAGAGGAGGTATGAAAGACTGAAGGCATTGGGAAGTCTCAAGGCACCCCTTGAAAGATTGAACGGTGTCTGACAAGGAATCTCTATTTTTCACTAAGCAGGGAAAAATCCAGATGGTAGGAATAGATGTTTCTCAGCTCTAATGAGAGGTAGAAACCAAAAGAACTGGGTTAATAAATTTAAAACCTAAAGAGGAGTGGGTATGAGTCGGGCTAAGAGAAGAAAGCTGAGCATTCCAAAGAGAAAATTTCTGGGGAAAAAAATTTGGTCTCCAATTACCAAAGTGTTTTAACTTTCATCCCACGCCAAGGTTAGAGACTGATGAAGAGTCAATACAAATTACAAATTCTGACCATTTATCCAATTATGTTCCATTTGTATAAGTTATTTCAGTCCATTAAAGCACTTTTTCAAACGTTTGAGGTTGTTCCTACCTCCCTTCCTGAAGTATTTCCTTCAATATTATAAGCAGATAACAGAAGCACTTGCTGAATTCTTACAAAAGCTCACTAACTGACCAAGATTAGAGCAAATACACTTCCTGAGTTATGCACGTACAGAAATATCAAGACTCTGTAGGGAATAATGGTCTAATAAGAGGAGGTATGAAAGACTGAAGGCATTGGGAAGTCTCAAGGCACCCCTTGAAAGATTGAACGGTGTCTGACAAGGAATCTCTATTTTTCACTAAGCAGGGAAAAATCCAGATGGTAGGAATAGATGTTTCTCAGCTCTAATGAGAGGTAGAAACCAAAAGAACTGGGTTAATAAATTTAAAACCTAAAGAGGAGTGGGTATGAGTCGGGCTAAGAGAAGAAAGCTGAGCATTCCAATTTCTATCTCATCCGAGGAAAACCCCTGTGAGCCAAGAGCTGAAAAACAGAAGCTGTAGAGTCGTGAGGCATAATCCAAAGGTCATGAAGCTGAACTTTGAATGCAGAAGTAATAAGAATGAAGAGCAAATCAAACATTTGAAACACAAAAAGTCCAAAAGGGAGGTGAAAAGGATAACAGGATTTCAGTGGCCAAGGCAGACACAAATACAAATTTTGAAAGTCACACTGAGCAAGACATTGGCACCAAGAATAAGAGTGTAAGAATATCTGTTTTGTGAAATAATCAAGCTTTGTTTCTTAGAAACGATACTGATTTTTTTAATAAATTTTTACTAATTGTGAATTATTCTAAAAGGTAAATGTAGAAAGTAATTAAATGAGCAGGAGTTCAGGAGTGTTCTGGATACGGGTAAGTTCTCTTGGCAGCTGGTACAGATGTAGAAGAGATGGGTGTGGCAGATGGTATTTCCCAAAGATGGCCACTACAGAATTTCCTATACTATGTTTTTCTGCAGTGTTCTCTCAATAAGTGGAGTTTCAGGGCTGGCAGGTGGTGTGGTGCTTGGGGGTGCTGGACTCCCACATGGCTGACTGCAGTTTGAGTCTCAGACCTGGTGGCTTGCTTTCTCTCTCTTTTTTTTTCCCCTCTTTCTCTCTCTCACTCTGTCCCTCTCTGATCAAGTTGAAATAAATAAATGAATAAATAAAGTTAAATAAAAAATTATTCTTAAAAAAGAAAGAAGTGGTGTTTCACTATCCTACCCTAAGCTTAGCTTTAGTGATTTGCTTGACCTATAGAATGTCTCAGCTATAACACTTTGAAACTTCTGTGATCAAATCATAAGAAGCTTGCAGCTCCTGCCTTTGACTCACAGAAGGGTCACTCCAGGGATGCTCCCTTTGAGGATGGCTGCCATGCTATGAGAAGTCTCAGCCCCATGGAAAGGCCATGGGTAGCTGTCCAGGTGGGTAGCCCCAGCTGAGCATCTGGAAGTAGCTAGCATCGACTGATGGTCATGAGATGTTCCAGCCCGACTGCACCTTCAGGTATAGGAAGCCCTGACCTCTAGTTGACTTCAGCTACATAAGAGACCCTGAGCTGAGCCCAGTTCACTCACGTAACTGTGAGCTATAATAATAAACAATATGTCTCCAGGGGCAGCAGGTGGTGTGATGGTTAAGGCAGTGAACTACAACATGACTGACGACAGTTCGAGTCCTGAATATGTTTCAGGGTAGCTTGTTATGTAGCAATAGATAATCAGTATCTGGGGTAACAGGGATGATTTTGAAAATAAACTCTATCTCTGACTAGTAATACTGGGCCATGATATTTGTAGTCATCACCTCTAGCAGACTCAGAAATTCATCAGCTCCCCCCAATTTGCCTCTTTTGAAGCTCTAATAACAACTTTGGGGGAAGATGACAAAAACTAAAGGGAGATTTGAGAGTACCAGGGGAGTTAGATTTGCAGCCTTGCCATATTGCCTATTACTGCACATAACCGCAACTTGGCCAGGGCCTGGAACAATTGAAAATGTAGAACAGTCTGCATTGAAAGGCCAGGATGGAGAGTGAACACTGCAGATAATTGAGCAATTACTGAGTACCTTAGAGAATCCACACTCTGGTGATAATTGGCATTCGCAGGGGGAAATTTTCCAGGGAGATAAATGAGACCTTTCTCAGACAATTAATGCCAGTCTCTGCACTGCTTGCTAGGTTGTTGTGTTTCCTTCTGAAAGATCGCAGGAGCTGGGCTGTTTCACTTGCCTCCAAACCTTCGATTGTTCAGTCCCTGTTAATGCAAAGACATAATGCGGGTTATAAAGTGATTCTCGGCTTACAGTCCATTCTTGATTATCCAAGGCTTATAGAATTATAATACAGTCCATTAGAACTTTGCTTAGCTATGGCTTCATTGGCATTTGGAAACATCTGGAAATTCAATCTGTTAAATGTGAACTTTGCTGACCTCACAACTCAGTTCTTTGAAATCTAAATACTCCGTCAGCTCCCTTGCAGGTTTGGACCAGATAAAAGGAGGAAAAAATGTAAACATGTATAGACTGTCTTTTGTGCTTTACATATATTACCTAATTTAATCTCTGTAGCAGCTATATGAGATTTTATCATCTTTGTTTTACAGAGAGGAAACTAAGATTCAGAGAGATGAACCTAAGTTTGCTTCTTCCCCCATCTTGTTGTTTAACATTGTAACTAGAGGTACAGACTCTAGAATCAAACAGATTAGAATTAATTCTGTATTCATTACAATAGGTTTCTCTATAACCTAGCTTTCAGAAAAGTTCTATTTTTGTCAAAAGATCTAGCTTTGATTTTCTTTATCTCC